ACAAAGTATATCGGAAGGACAGAACAGGTTGTGCTGGTGGGGGAGTGGCTCTATATGTGAAAGAAGGCATAGAATCAAATGAAGTAAAAATCTTAAATAAACCAAACTGTACCATAGAATCTCTCTGGATAGTAATTCCATACTGTAATAATAAGAATAGAGCAGTAGGGATATATTATCGACCACCTGACCAGGATAGTGATAGTGCCTGTGAATGAGAGAGGCTATACAAATAAACTCAATAATAATGGGGGATTTCAACTATCGCCATATTGACTGGGTACATGCCACCTCAGGACCGGATGCAGGATGGGATAACGTTTCTTGATACCTTAAATGACTGCTTCTTGGAGGAGCTAGTCCTGGAACCTACAAGAGGAGAGGCAATTCTTGATTTAGTCCTAAATGGAGCACAGGATCTGGTCCAAGAGGGGAATATAGCTGGACTGCTTGGTAATAGTGACCATAATATAATTAAAACACCACAGCAGCCCAGCACTGTAGCATTTAATTTCAGAAAGGGGGACTACACAAAATGAGGAAGTTAGTTAAACAAAAATTAAAAGATACCACGCAAAAAGTGAAATCCCTGCAAGCTGCATGGAAACTTTTGAAAGACACCATAATAGAGGCTCAATTTAAAGGTACACCCCAAATTAAAAAAAATATAAGAGAACCCAAAAAATGCCACCATGGCTAAACAACAAAGTAAAAGAAGCAGTGAGAGGCAAAAAGGCATCCTTTAAAAAGTGGAAGTTAAATCCTTGTGAGGAAAATAGAAAGGAGCATAAACTCTGGCAAATAAAGTGTAAAAATTAGAACCATCAAGCAGTGTTAAACATTAATAGAATACCATTTATTTAAATATTTTTGGATGTTTTCAACATTTTCAAATATATTGATTTCAATTACAACACAGAATACAAAGTGTACAGTGCTCACTTTATATTTATTTTTGATTACAAATATTTGCACTGTAAAAAAACAAAAAAGGAATTTTTCAATTCACCTAATACAAGTATTGTAATGCAATCACTTTATCATGAAAGTTGAACTTAAAAAAAAAACTGCATTCAAAAATAAAACAATGTAAAATTTTAGAGGCTGCAAGTCCACTCTGTCCTACTTCTTGTTCACCCAATTGCTCAGACGAACAAGTTTGTTTATGTTTGCAGCAGATAAACATTTCTTGTTTACAATTTCACCCAAATGTGAGAACAGGCACCGTTGTAGCTGGCATCACAAGGTATTTACATGCCAGATGCACTAAAGATTCATATGTTCCTTCATGCTTCAACCACCATTCCAGGGTCCATGGGTCCATGGTGATGATGGGTTTTGCACGATAACAATCCAAAGCGGTACGGAGCGATGCATGTTCATTTTCATTATCTGAATCAGATGCCACCAGCAGAAGGTTGTTTTTCTTTTTTGGTGGTTCGGGTTCTGTAGTTTCCGCATCAGAATGTTGCTCTTTTAAGACTTCTGTTTAGCATATCTGGCAAGTAAATACCTTGAAATGCCAGCTACAAAAGTGCCAAGCAAATGCCTGTTCTCACTTTCTGGTGACGTAAATAAGAAATAAGAAGAGGGCAGCATTATCTCCTGCAAATGAAAACAAACTTTGTTTGTCTCTTAGTGATTGGCTAAAAAACGAAACAGGACTGAGTGGAGTTGTAGGTTCTGAAGTTTTATATTGTTTTGTTTTTGAGTGCAGTTATGTAACAAAAAAAATCTGCATTTGTAAGTTGCAGTTTCATGACAGAGGTTGCACTACAGTACTTGTATGAGGTGAATTGAAAAATACTATTTCTTTTATCATTTTTACAATGAAAATATTTATAATCAAAAATATACACTTTGATTTCAGTTACAACATAGAATACAATATATATAAAAATGTAGAAAAACATCCAAAATATTTTATAAATTTCAATTGGTATTCTATTGTTTAACAGTGCGATTAAAACTGCGATTAATCACGATTAATTTTTTTTAATCGCAATTAATTTTTTGAGTTAATCGCATGAGTTAACTGCGATTAATCGACAGCCCTAGCATTAACCTAGTCTCTTCTGACTACCAATCTGTTAGCACACTATAAGAGAGCATCCTGGGTTTGCAAAAGAGAGCTAACCGATCAGGCCTCTGGCAAAATGAGTGGCTTCCTGGTAACATGCATGGTGGGCAGTAAAGTTTTCCCACAGTGCATCATGGTCCTAGAGCTAGAGCAACCACATTTTTGGGTGGGGGACATTAGGATATGGTTACGTTGACTCAGGTCTGTTGTGTGGACTCCAGAACCCTAGGTTCCAGCATGGGTTAGAAAAGTCTTAACATAACGTTAAAATGCAATGCTGACACTCAAGCCCAGGGTTTCTTCACACAGGTCATAGGATTCAAATCCCACTAAGCTGGGGTTACATTGCAATGTAGACATACCCACCATCTTCTGCTGTAAGCGTTGATGGAAGAGGTCTCACACTAGGAGGAAAGATTTGCATAATGAGAAAATCACATGTATTCTATTTTCACATTTTCTAATCTGTCAGAGTAGCAAAAGATGATGCAAATGCATAAAACACAAGAGCAAAGCTAAGAGACAAAAGCATAGAATCAGGACTCAACCTTCCGGTATCCTGCAGTTTGAACTTGGGAGTCTGACACATTCATTCCTTTACTGAGCATCATCACGTGCACAGCATGAAAGTTCTTCTTGTCCAAAAAGGCCGTCAGATGGGGATCCAGGAAGAAGGAATGTCCTCTGAAGGCATCAACTGTTTCTCTCTTTGCCTCATGAAATTTTGGATGCAAAAGGCAAAAGACAATTGCTCCCAATTTAACCATGGCATCCCTTGGCACCAGAATGAATGCCACTGAACTAAGGAGCAGTGTTCCAAAAATAAATAGTTTAGCTGGGCCATGGGTCATCACAGTTTCCATCTCTGGGGTGAAAATCAACCAATGGGTACCTGCTATTTCTACCTGAGTTTTTGTATAATCCTTGGCCTTGGTTGGGGTAACTTGATACTTTTCTGTGGTAGGATCCTTACCAAACTACACCAAATGTCAGTAATGTTAGTGAGGAATAGCTTCCCCAAACATGCCCAGTTTATTTCTTTAACCTGGTGGCACAGATCTAAGTGAGGGACTAGATCCAGGCCTGGGTTAGAATCCCCGTTACCCATTAAAGGTTGGGTATTTATTAAAAACAGGTATAATTCTGCAGCTGTCTCACATTCAACACTGAGTTCATTTTATACACATTTGCAGCATCTACAAGGGGTGAACTCATCAAAAATGTCACTTCCATTTTCTCCATCTTTACAGAGATAGGGATTGGGCTTCCCAAATAGTAGTCAGTGTGCACCTGATTCGGAAGGAAATGTCTTTAACAGTAACCTCGTGCAGAGCTTCGACCACAATTGGTTTGGGATCCAAATCCAGTCGGCTTTTTGCTGAGTTCCAAATTACTGACTGGGGAATACACTTCCCAGATCATCTGAAACAATATTGCCATAACCAACTGAATAACAGCTTGATGACCAAACTAAATTAAAACCCACAATGCTTCATAACATTAGCTGACCAAACTGGACCAGAGGGATTTGCAACTGGGCTATTGAGTGAATTGAATCAGTATTCTCTTCAGCTAAACTACAGTGGAAAAACACAGCTTGTGAAATCGTGGCAGAGCTGTTGCAATGACAGCTACCATGTAAGAATGGAATTTTACTGAAACCTGATTTCTACCATGGAACTATTATTCAGGGATGTAAATTGTTTTATTACAAACTACCAATTTGTCTGGGATAAGGTATATTGGGAAATCAGTTCTTATAAGTAAAAGGTTAAAAGTGTGATAACTGATAAAAATATAATTAATTATTGTAACAACTATAAGTAGAAAAGTGGTACTATATAATCAAAATAAGAAAGTAGTCAATAGTGAGTTTATAAAGTATGTTATATTTGAAGTCATTTATATTCATGTTACATTCTCTGTAACTATTACTAGGGGCCTACCAAATTCATGGTCCATTTTGGTCAATTTCACAGTCATAGGATTTAAAAAATCATAAATTTCATGATTTCAGATATTTAAATCTGAAATTTCAGGGTGTTGTAACTGTAGAGGTCCTGACCCAAAAAGGAGTTGTGGGGGAGGTCGCAAAGTTATTGTAGGGGGGATTGTGGTACTGCTATCCTTACTTCTGTGCTGCTGTTGGCAGTGGTGCTGCCTTTAAGAGCTGGACAGCTGGAGAGCGGTGGCAGGAGCCCAGCTCTGAAAGCAGAGCCACTGCCAGCAGCAGCGCATAGTAAGGATAGCATGTTATGGTATTGCCACCCTTTCTTCTGCACTGTTGCCTTCATATCTGGGACCTTGGTCAGCAGCCGCGACTCTCCGGCCATGCAGAAGTAAGGGTGGCAATACCGCCACCCCCCTAAAATAACCTTGTGACCCCCCCAACACCCTTTTGGGTCAGGGCCCCCAGTTTGAGAAACACTGGTCTGTATAGTAAAGGATAAAAACAAACAAAAGACTAGGTTTCATGGGCAAAAACCAGATTTCACTGGCTGTGACACATTTTTCATGGGTAGGGCCCTATGTATTACCATACAGTAGATGCTGTGACCTTTGTAAGAACTCCTCCTTAGTATCTGTGCTGGAGAATACAAGCTTAGCAAAAACTAAGATACAAGAAGCTTGTAAGATACACTTAAATACAATAGCTTCTTGGTGTTGTGCTATCCCTGGCTACTACAATATAGATGGAATTAGGAGAGAAAGAAAGTCTGTAACTTCTATAGTGTTAGCCAATATTAATAGTATATACACTGCTAATATTATATATAATATCACATGTTTCTTGAATTGTCCTCATGTTAAGATCTTCCAAAATGCTTTTTTATCTAAGTTAAACAACGAGATAGCTGAAGTATTTTCATTTCAGGGGTAGGCACAAATATAGCAGAAAAAGAGAGAATACTACGCTTGGAATGTTCAAATCAAAATTCTTGTCTTGTGTACATGCCTCTCTGTTTTTGTTCAATGTGTAAGGTCTACATAATTGTCAAAATGTAAAATATATGCCATGTTGAAAATTACAATATATCCCTCACATAGAAAGTGCAACAATCACTGCCTATGAAAAACATGCCACAGAAAACAGAGAAGAAAGATGTATCCGATAAAATGATATGGGGAAAATTGTGAAACTCCCCCCCAGATAGGTACAATTAGAGAAGGGATAAGCACAGGATCTTTGAGACAGTGTGAGCTCTGCAATCTGGTCTTCCAGAGGGATTGGTAACCTAGGCACTCTTCCTTTTTGTATTATGATGTATTAATCTTTGACTAATAATCCTTAATTAATACATTGATTAAGCCTAGTCATTGGACATCTCTTGTTATAAATTTATATTGCATCCACAACAAGTATGCTCGTGTCCAGTTACTTGAGTAAGTTGCACAATTTGTGGTATGCTGTTGTTCCCACTTCAAAGTAGAAATTTTAAAACACTACTGTTTCCTTGGTACCGTGCCCAGTAACTTGGAGCATTCTCTCCCAATGACTGAACTGCATTTGAACTTCCTCCCTGTCATCATGAGGGGTGAGGAGCAGCCACAAATAAAAGAAATTCTGTTGTACCAAATGGTCATCTGTCTCAAAATCCTCAGTAAATCAGAGGTAAATTCTGTCAAACAAATGTAATATCTAATTGTGAGACCAAACCATCTTCAGGAAAGAGGAAAAACTCACAATACAGAGGGCTTTAAAACACCTTCAGTTTCATATAAAATGAATTTCCAGAGCAGGTTATATCTGATAAATCAAAACAGATTCTCCCATTGCATTCTCCTCTGGTCCATTCAAACTTTCTTCACCCAGTGCCACCTCATTATTAATGTCACTGGGTGACAAAAGATTTAAGCTTCATCACAAGAGGGAAATGCAGCTGACTTTCCCATCTGCAAACAATCCCCAGGAAAAAGCCCAGAAGCAGCTTTGCCAATAGATGGAAGCAGAAATGAAAGCACAGAATGACTACTCTGTGTTTGGAATCCATCAAATCCCCCTTCCAGGCCTGTGACACTTTCATCTCTAGCCCCAGTGAATCTGATTTACGATCAAAGCGTGACACCTAAGCACAGGGTGAACACAGAACATGGCATCACATGACACACTGGGAGGTGCAGGGGTAGAAGGTGGGGAGGATAAACGCTATTGTGCCTTACACAGAAGCTAATGCTGCTGGGCTGAGGGGTGATTGTGACAGTGATGGGGAAGGAGGGAATCCCTTTGACACACCCCATCTCCTTTAGGTATCACAGAGACTGAAATTACACATTTCACCCCACCCCACCCCGCTCCTTGTTCTATTTCAATCTATTTTAATTGAGGAAAATGGTAGAAAAAATACTTCTGTCCAGCATAACCCTGAGCAAGGTGAGAACAACAGGAATTGAGACAATCTGTCCCCAAGGGGGAACACGGTGACTAACAATCACTTTGTAATGGGGGAATGGTATCAACGTGATCCTTGGGGTTTGTCTAGACTAGGAAAAATGATGGAGGTGAGCTCAGGTCAAGGGGAAAGCTAACTCCAGCCACTGTACCCGGGTTATGTCTGCACTGCAAATGTACTTTTGTTGTTACAAGAAGATCGCTAAGCTGAGCAGCTACCTCCATGTAGAATCCCAGTGGAGACAAGGCACAGGTAGCTTTTACCTCAGTGTAGCTAGTCAAGGTCAACCCATCTCCCCCACCTGGCGCTGATGGATATTTCTGGGAGGAGGAAGACACTCCCAAAGACAAAGGAGTTGATATAAAGGATCATGAAAATCACCCCAAAGAAGGGGAAGGTGCAAAATAGAGGCAGGCAACTCATGTGGAGCTGAGACACCACACTGAAGAAAATGGTGCAAACTATGTGGGAATTCGCTAATGTATTTTACAAAAAATCTTTGGCTAGCCCTAGTCAAGACATTTATGGCATTACTCGCCTATGTGGATTCTCTTATGTTTGATAAAAGTTGAGCTCTGACTAAAACTCTTCCCGCACTCAGGGCACTTGAAGGGTCTCTCTCCTGTGTGGATTCTCTGATGTGTGATGAGGGTTGAGCTCTGACTAAAGCTTTTCCCGCACTCAGAGCATGTGTAGGGTGTCTCTCCAGTGTGGACTCTCTGATGTGTGATCAGATTTGAGTTCCGACTGAAGCTTTTCCCACACTCAGAGCACGTGTAGGGTTTCTCTCCCGTGTGGATTCTCCGATGTGTGATGAGGTGTGAGCTCCGGTTGAAGCTTTTCCCGCACTCAGGGCATGTGTAGTTTGTCACTCCTCTATGGATTCGCTGATGACTAATAAGGGCTGAGCTCCGACTGAAGCTTTTCCCACACTCAGAGCATGAGCAGAGTGTCTTCCCTACATGGATTCTCTGATGTGTGATGAGGTTTGAGCTTCGACAGAAGCTTTTCCCGCACTCAGAACATGTGTAGGGTCGCTCTCCCGTGTGGATTCTCTGATGTGTGATGAGGTGTGAGCTCTGGCTGAAGCTTTTCCCGCACTCAAGGCAGGTGTAGGGTGTCTCTCCAGTGTGGATTCTCCGATGTGTGATCAGGTTTGAGCTGTGGTTGAAGCTTTTCCCACACTCAGGGCATGTGTAGGGTTTCTCCCCTGTGTGGATTATCCAATGCCTAATAAGGTCTGAACTCTCACTGAAGGTTTTCTTGCACTCGGCGCACGAATAGGGTGTCTCACCCGTGTGGATTCTCTGATGTGTGATAAGGGCTGAACTCCGACAGAAATTTCTCCCACACTCAGAGCATGTGTAGGGTGTCTCTCCTGTGTGGATTCTTCGATGTTTGATGAGATTTGAACTGTGATTGAAGCTTTTCCCACATTCAGGGCATGTGTAGGGCATCTCTCCAGTGTGGATTCTCTGATGTGTGATAAGGGCTGAGCCATGACTGAAGCTTTTCCCACATTCAGGGCATATGTACGGCCTCTCTCCAGTGTGAACTCTGTAATGTGTGATGAGGGTTGAGCTCTGTCTAAAGCTTTTCCCACACTCAGAGCATGTGTAAGGTCTCTTTCCCATATTAATTCTTTCATGTCGAATAAGGTCTGAGCCACTACTGAAGCTTTTCTCTGGCCTATGCTGATTCTCACAGGCTTTTGCCTCTCCACAGCTCCCAGAAACTTTCTCTTTGCATCTTCCTGCTAATGTCCCATGTGGTTCCAGTTGCTCAGCATCTTCCTGCTGGGAATACTCATTGTTCTCACTCACCATCCCATCTCCTGGAAGGACAGAGAGAGAATCCAGACATATGTCACTCCCTGTGCTGGGGAGAAAGGAAACGTCAGAGAAAGGAATGGGAAAAGGTGGGAACAAACTCAAATAAGTCTGGAGAGATCAAACAAAACAGAATTTAATTTCCGCCATTCTTTCCCCTCCACTCCCCACAAACCATTCCCCAGAGGACAGAGAGAAGAGGGTCATTTCTTGGTCCACAGCCCATTCAGGAAGAAGGAAGATTAAGGAGGGAGCTACAGCCTTATGTCAGTCAGGAGAGGCGGGAAGTCATGAGTGACAACTGCTATGAGGATGTCACACCTGCTGGGAACAATTCTGGAGAAGTCACAAGATCTTTGTAGGGAATCCCAAATGTTTCCTTCATTCATGGACAGTTTCCGAGTTGGTTTAATGGATGCCTCACCTGTCTGGGCACCTTTCTGGAGCCCTCTTTCTTCAGAGCCCTGAAGATCTGGGACCCACAGCTCTTCCCCTCTTTCCAGCCGGGAGATCACATCAGGTTTGGAAACTGGAAACCCTGCGTAAGAGAACAAAAACAAGAGAGATCAGTGGAATTTGTGGGATACTTGTCACAAAGAGCATTTCATGGTTTTACCCTGAGCTCATTTTAAGCATCCTGAGGCCACCTTCCTGGGATCCAAGCAGCAGGACAGTTATTATTATTAATCAGGTTTATTATAGTAGTGCCAAAGGGCCAATAAAAAATGGAGCCCCATTGTTCTAGGCATTGTATAAACAGAGTAGTAGATTGCCCATGCCCTGAGGAACTTACAATCTATATAGACAAGACACACACCGGGTCGGGGAAGAATCAGAATACACAAGCAGAGTGAACAATGTAATGGCAGACAGATATGATAAACACAGGCATAACTTGATACTATTGTATTTAACTGTGATAGGGTACACAGTCCCCACACTGGGCCTGATGGGGTTAAAGAACACTAATGGGCACAGGTAGCCCTGCCCCCTCCAGCCTGCGAACCAGCTGGAGGAGCTGGTTAAAAGATGCTTAGAAGCCCAGGGAAATAGGGGGTGGTAGAGTGACCAGGCTGAAGGGAAAACAGGTCCTTCTCCTGAAAAGCCACTTGGAAGGTTGGAGCTGGGATGGCAGCACGATGCTGGTGAGGCCCACAGGTAGTGCCATCTCCAAACTCCACCCCCCTTTTTCTGACAACCAGCAGACCCCACAGGGCTCTGCTCTTTTGAACTCCAGGGGGAAGCTTGAGTGGGAGATGAGTTGGTGTTGGTGCTGCTTTGAGCAGGGGATTGGACTAGATGACCTCCTGAGGTCTCTTCCAACCCTGATATTCTATGATTCTATGAGACACCAACCAGAGACCTTGGAAGAGGCTGTTGCTATGGTGGAGAACTACCTGATGTCCCTTGGGTCCATAGCTGAAATGCCAAAAGCCAGTCTGGTGCACCTCGGGGGCCCCAAGTCCCACTGAACCCAAACCTCAGTAAGGGTAACCAGGGGGACTTGGGCACCGAAGAGGGGGGATACAACGGCCAATAGAGGCACCTGGAAGCCCACCCTCAGCTAGCCAGGAGACATCTGAGTCAAGCAGAGTAGCCTTATCCGAAGGGGCCATCCCACTCAGGAGAATTAATGTGAAACCTCTTTCTCCCATGGGGGCTAGTTGCATGTGAGCAGCCGGGCCATTTCAGGTGGGACTGCCCATTCATGGACTATAATTATGGGCAGGTCTGGAGAACGGATAACTGGGTTTCAAAAACAGCACAGGGAAAACGTTAGTCCTTTTGCTAGTGAATGGAGTAAAAGTACAAGGACTTAGACTCTGTCTGCAGCCAGATTTTAGTCAGGGAGTGGTTGGTGGGGTCAGGAGGAGAATCTAGAGGCATGGTCTTCCTCCAGTGTATCCACGGGGACATGCAACCCTGTCCGATTAGACAGGTGCAACTGACTCTGCAAGACCACACTGAGACAGTGCAGGCCAGAGTGGCCAAAGACCTGGCCTCTCTGGTCATACTTCGGCATGACTGGAAGTTTTTCAGGGAGGATGTCCAGGGATGGCATAGAGCATCTGCAGAGGGGCTAGAGCTGAACTAGAAGAACCAGAAGGACAGGAGATGGCCATGGTGGCCAAGAGGAGATGGCTCCATTGGAAGACAAAGATCCAGGAGAAGGACCACCCTCATGGGCAAATGACTTTTCACCTGAACTTAACTGGAGCAGTAGGGGCCTGCTACCACCTTTCAACCTGCACCTGGTGTCTAGCAAATAAACATTTTGGGAGAGCAAATGAGTGACGCAACCCTGAGTCAGGTTCGTGAACATCTCACCCATGTGGATGACAAAGTGTTAGACCCGCAGCAGCTGAAATAGTGGCCCTATTTTGAAACTGCTAGAGGAGAAATCATATTGGGTGATGAAGCAGGCTGAGACAGGGTTAGTCAAATGCAGCTTCGGTACACAGGAATTTCCCTAGGGGAGATGCTTCAATTGGCCCATGCAATGCTGTGCTGGGGCACTTGGGGACAGAGAAGACATTCAACAGAATGACCACGAAGTTCTACTGGCCGGGCATCCACCCCAGAGGCACGGGACTATTATGCCTCCTGCCCCAAGTACCAGTGGGTGAGCCAGAAAAAGATCTCAAAGGCCCCCCTGGTACTACTCCCCTCTGCAGGGGTCCCTCTGACGGGCAGGTGCTTAGATTGGGGGACAGAGGAAGGATCACTGGATGATTGCCCTGTTGTATTCATTTCCTAGGAAACATCTGCATTGGGCCCTGTCAGAAGACAGGATACTGGGCTAGATGGACCATTGCTCTGACTCAGCATGGCCATTCTTATGGACAGGCACAGAGCTGGTGGGTCCGCTGAAAACGTCTGCAGCCAGGTACTAATATACATTGGTGATCCTGGATTGTGCCACCAAAGATCCTGGGCCATTCCCCTCTGGTCAGAAATGGCAGCTGTCATTGCCAGTAAGCTCATAAAAGTATTTGCCTGAGTAGGGATCCGCAAAGAATTATTGACAGAGCAAGGGGCAAACATCACCTCACAGTTAGGCCTGGTCTGCACCTGGCGGGGGGGTGGGGGGTGGAGAGGAGAATATCGATCTAAGTTATGCAACTTCAGCTACGTGAATAACGTGGCTGAAGTCGATGTACTTAGATTGACTTACCATGGTGTCTTCACCGTGGTAAGTCGACTGCTGCTGCTCCCCCGTCGACTCCGTCTGCACCTGTCATGGCAGTGGAGTACAAAGGTCGACGGGAGAGCGCTGGGGGTCGATTTATCGCGTCTAGACTAGATGCGATAAATCGACCTCTGCTGGATTGATTGCTACCCGCGTAGTGTAGACATACCCTTAGTGAACGAATTTTGCGACTTGATATGGGTCAAGTCCTTGAAGATGTCAGTATACTACCACCAAACTGACAGTCTGGTGGAACAGTTTAACAAAACATTAAAGAGTTGTGGTAGTTCAATCCACTGACTCGTGACACTGGGACCATCCCACCTGTCCTGCTCACCACCTGCGAGGTTCCCCAGGCATGGGAGGCAATCAAGGGGAATCTTGGATCTCCTCCATGAGATATGGAAAGGGCAGAACTCCAGAACAACCAATGTAGTGCAGTATGTTATAAAGTCAAGAAAGAAACTGAAGACCCTGGGGGCGCTTGCGAAGGAAAACCTGGAGAAGGCACAACACAACCAGGAGCAGGTCAACAGCAAGGCCCGTCTCTGAGAGCTCCAACCTGGAGACTGAGTGATATTTCTACTGCTCACACTGAAATCCAAGCTTCTGGCCTGATGGCAAGGCACCGCCAAGGTGGTAAAACAGGTAGGGGAGATTGATTCTGAGGTCAGCAACCCAGAAGAAAGAAGACAGCCCAGGTATATCAAGTCAACCTGCCCAAGGCTTGGAAGGGACAGGAAGGCCTCCTCGTCATCCCGTTCCCACCCTACCCCAAACTCGGCCCTCAGGCCCCCACACCCAAGATAACATCACAGTACTGGTAGGGAAGAACCTGCGGCCCAGCCAAGAGCAGCGAGGAAATGGGGTAGAGTGAACAGGCTGGAGGGAAGCCAGGTCCTTCAGACATGCCACAGGGAAAGCTGAACCTGGGAGGGAACCACGATGCTGGTGAGTCCCAACTGCAGTGCCTTCATCAAACCCTGCCCTTTCCTGAGCACTGGCAGGCCCTGCGAGGCTCTGCTCATCTGAACTCTGTTCAGTTGCAGATTGTTTGGACTCTAAGGGACCATGTCCCGAGCTGAAAGAGAGGAGAGGTAGGAAGTAGCTCAGAGTGGCAGACTCACATCCTCTTCATGGAGGAGTCAGCTACTGTTTATTCCCACAGGGTCCTGGGCTGGGACCTGGTGCAGAGGGAAGGCCATGGCCTCCCTACCATATCCCGCTTGAGAGCTAAGCCAAAGACGGGACAAAGCCATGATGCCTGTGACCTAAAAGCAGGGGTAGGCATCTCTACATCCACCACACTTTGGGGTGAGAGATGAGAAACCAGATATGCTAACCATTAGGCCACCTACCCTCCCTGAACAAACTTTAATGTTATGAATTTTACCTGTATATTTGAACTAGCCCTTGAAAGCATGAAAACGTTACTAAGTATTATACTGAGATAGGCCAGATTATATCGGCCCATAAAATATTCACACACCTTTGTATCAAGAAGTGTCATGTATTTGTGTGTTCCTGGCTCACTGAGGGGTGGGTGGGGGATGGATTTCCTGTGGAATCTGCTATCAGCAGGGGATGATTAATGCCAAATTCCAAGGCTGATTATGCAGATATCCAACGTTTGAGGCTTTGTCCCCCTTCGGTAAGAGCAGTGACTGGTGTTACCTGTTTCAGGAGGCTGGGGAACAAAGACGGAGTTAGGGGCATAAAAGGCTGTTTGAGCTGACTGAGGGGGGTGTCCCTGAGTACATCTACACTGCAGAAATAAAACCTGACAGGGAGCCTGAGCCTGGGTCTGCAGACTTGGGCTCGCAGGGCTCACACTGCAGCACTAAAAATAGCCGTGTACTTTCCTGCTCAGGCTGGAGCTCGGGATCTGAATCCTGGGGCGGCATGTAGGGCCTGGTCTACACTAGGCGTTTATGTCGAAGT